CTACAATACTGAGTTGAAAGGAATGATCATGAGAGAATTTGGTTGTGTGACATACGATGAAGGCGGAAAATTTTCCGCAAAATTCACTTTTTGTCTTTACAAGCAGAACAATGAGAGAAAATTTTACAAAAACAATGGAATATCTCAAATAACCTAAAAATGAAAATATTAGGAAAACAAAAATGAAAAATATATGATAATATGCGAGAATAGAAATATAAGCAATACACACTAAATTATGGAAAAGTTGTAAAACAAAACAATACAATAACATACCAAGAAAAGAAAATATGTGCTAAATCAGAGACTGGAAAATTATTATTGAAAGCAATTAAAAGTGTTTATGAAGGGAATATGAATTATAAGAAAAAAGGAGTAACATCTAATAAAGAAGATGTAATAATATAGTCGGTAGAAACAAGATGCTGCAAAATTTGAACAAAGGAATATAGAAAGGCAGAAAGATATTACATCTGAGGAAGAGATAATTAAACATGCTCTGAAGGAAGTACACGGCTTCAATTTACTGTGCTCACCTTAAAAATATTAGAAGTGCGTATTAAATATTGATATGCGTACAGAATAAAATAAAAAATTGTTTTAAAATTAGTTTATCTACCTAAATATACATACATAATATATATACATTCAAAGAAATTAATTTATAAAGTAAAGGAGCCTTAAATACGCACAGATTGAATTATTTTAGAAATTAAAATTAACTTAAATATGCATTTCGGCAAATATAAAAAAGGAAAAAATCGTAACTTACATTAACAAAGGGGCAATTTGACTTGCTGTCATACTGCTTAATGCAGAAAGCTGATTCCATAGATCAATACTCATGAAAGGCCATTTATCCCTATTTTCTTGTGGCTCCAAGAAAAAGATTTGGAAAGAAAAGGAATTGTTGGTTCACTAATTGTTCGCTTTGTATACACTGGTTTGATAATTTTTTCCATTCACCTATAAGCATTTGGGATATTTCACGGGCTAACGGCCATACCATGCTGGATGCTGCTCGTTAGATCACCGAGGAAGTCAAGCATCATTGGGCGCGGTCAGTACTTGGGTGGGTGACCACCTACGCGTTCGCGTGCCGTTAGCATTCACAAATTTGGGACCTGAACGCGGCGAAGTGAAATACAGCGCTTTGGCGCTCGGTGCCTGCACCGGGTTCTTGAATCCCGGCGGTGCCATTGATGCTTGTGGTGGTTCGGAATCGCGCTTTGGCCGTAGGTCCCCGGTCTCCTATGACTATAAGAGTTGCAGGCCAAAGCCAAGACTTCTACCTACGGGTGCTCCATCAACGAAGCTGCTACCTTCCCCTTCAATCGCTGGAAGTATATATGGGCTTGGCCGAACAAGTGGGATAAGAAGCAGCAAACATGATATTTCGGGATAAGGTTTCCTAGATCTTGGTATACCATCTTCAGTATAAAAATTATTCAATTAAAGTATTTACAACTAAAAAAATAATCTAATAATGATGAATAATCCAAAAATAATAATAATCAGTAATAATTATTAATATTTTTTTCCAATCATCACTTTAAATAATATAAAATCAAAATTTCATTAAATCAAACAAAAAACATTAAAACAAACATTCTAACAGGTTGAGATTTCTCTTGATGCTTTTACTAAATAACTATAATTCTAAATGATACGTCTGACCCTCACTTTTGTTGACATTAGAATCTTGATGTATATCCTCCGGTATATCAAAAAGATTGTCAAGTTATGAATAGTTGGAACGTTGCATTCATTGTGCGACACAAAATGCAAATGAATCGTTACAGCATTATGTTGAATAAATGTCGAAGAAGGACAAGTTTGCATTTTCAAACCTTGTTCTGCATTCGGTTTTTCGAAGCTGTCTGCGAATTTCATTTTAGTGTTTTAAAATCAGTGCAAAAACACCAGGGCTTTTGGAATAAGTTTTGGAAATAACAGTTACGAATAAAAGTTACTTTTCAATGTAAAAAGAAAAGTGGTTTTTCAAAGAAATGTATTTCTGTCAAATATCGGAATTAATAAAACTAGCTGTTAAGAGACATGAACATGCGAACTAAGGAAAAAGAATAAAAATATAAATCTCGAAATTTAAAAAAATTTTAATTCTGAAATTTAATTTGAGCTTATGAAGCATTTGTATTTTAAAATGAGATAATTTTATTTTCAAAAATAATTTTTATTAGATTTATTTTAAAAATTAATTTGCATGAAAGTAATGAAACAAATATTTTATTAAATGATTTCATATTAGAATTTAATGTGTGCAATGTATGTATAATGTGTATTGTGAATAATGTTATATGACAAATGATTTCTTCGCTTTCTGATTCCAATTTTTAATTTTTAAGATAAGAAAAAGAAAAATTAAAACACATTTATTTAAATATGGTTTAATTTAGAAGGAATACATCATATATATGCCATTGGTATATTTTATGACATTTTCATACATTTTTAATTTATGAAAAAAAGCTTAAATTGATTATTCTCAATTTCCCATTTTTACAAATAATATCCTAGTTAAAAGCTAATGTCTTTTAACTAGTGCTCAAGATCATATGAAAATTTCACCATATATGTATATATATATATATAACTATCTATTGCATAAAAAAAGGGATGAGATTTTAAGAAAAAATGAAAAGGAATTTTTGCAAGGTAATTTTAAATTCATAATTTTTCGTATATTTTCTTAATTTTAATTTTTTTTTTTTTTTCAAAAATACTAAAGATATATAAAAAAATCCCATCCTTTGAAGTGAAGACAGATGTTTTCTGAGTATAATAAAAAATATAGAACTAAATATCAAAAAGTGAAAAAGGACTAATTTTTTTCCATTTTAAAGTGCGATTTTAAAGTAATTAAAAAGATTAAAAATTTTAATTTTTTAAAAACTGTTATTACTCCTTTAAATTCTACTTGCTACATCTCTTATTACATTTAGAACAATTCATAGTCAACATTTATTTCAGTAGCATTATAACAGAAAAAAAAAAAATTGTTTGCCAAGTTCGCTTAAAAACGTTTTGCTTTTGTTTAATTTCTTTTCTTCTCTTTTCTGTTTTTAAATTTTTCTTATGAGAATTAATAATGTATAGAAGAAGGGGGTCATAAAAAAAAATATTACTATTTTTAAATAATATAATATAATTTTTTTATTAAGTTCATGTATATAATCATAAAATGCAGTAATTTTCAGAGCCTTTCCTTCGTCATTTTTATGCAAAATGTTTTTAAACTTATAAAAATGTAAAAGCTGTAGGAAATTTGTACATATGACTATTAAAAATGATAAAAAATATTTGTTTTGAATTTTTGTATTTAAACAAAAAATTGTTGAGACTATATATTGCTTGGTTTTTATCAATGAGTACACATGCAATAAATAAATATAAATAAAAACAACAGTCTGGTATATGATTTAAAAAAATATACACTAGACAAGAATTTGGATGAGGTTCTGAAAAATTCTAATTTGACATGTGTCTAAAAATCGAAAGCTCACTTCTTTACTTTACTATAACAATCTATATTTTATGGTATGAATTTTTCTTCTATATTTTTCTGGGCAAAATAAATGCATTTTTTATCTAAGATAACATGGCTTTCTTTTCTTTTCACTCTAAGAAGCAATAAATTGCTAAAAATTTATATGGAGTTGCTAAAGTGACAAAAAAGAATTTTTTAATGTATATTTATCATTCTTATTCTAAATTTAAACTTGAATTAAATAGTGAAAATTGGGATTATAAGAATTTAAACTGTCAAAATGTGAAATAATTTGTTGCTTTATTTGGTTAATTCAAGAAAATTAACAGCGATTTCAACAAATTTTTAGGTTCTGTGCAAGTGATACATCACAATAAATGGATCGAACTTTATTAAAATCTACTCAAGTGTTCGTGCTACAGTACAAAAATCCAATACACATTAATACTTATTAGCATATATATAATACAGTGCTTAGCAACTCAAATCTTCTAGTTGCCCGACTCGCGGCAAGGTCAACGTGCTCCGCCGTGAGCATTAGAGCTGAGTTCAGTCCACTGGCTGCTTAGTTGTAGACACTGTTTCAAAACACGAGGAGACTCGATGGCGTTTTGGACAGTCATCATCTTACCTTGTGCGTCGAGCTCCCTGGTGGTAGTTTTCCAGGCTTCTCCTATACGATACGCAAATGAGCGGCAGTTCTCCTGTAAAAAGCTAAAGAGTTCATTTCTAAGAGTTCATTTTATGAGGTTATCTACGTTCTATACAACATCGCACCAATCCCCCAGCCTTTTGAGAAACAGTTAATCTTTAAACAATAAGAATTTTTTTATCAAACACATATTTCGATTCTACGTTAAGCTATGGAGAACACAGCTTTGCCTTCCGAATGATCTGGAAAAACAACTACAACATTGCTATATGCACAAAGTTATTAATTATTCTGGAAGGGCGCTCAAGATGGATCTTGAAGTTGCATGGAAATAGTGGGCGAAAGACAGCTGTGCATAAAAAGATAATTTGAAGAACTTAGGACTGAATCCCTGGAAAGAGCCCATGCTCTGGAAATCGATGAAACGACAATGACCACACATTCCAAGGATCTGACGATAGATAGGTTAAGGGACATGCACAAGCAGCGCCATACGGTAGTTCTGTAAGGAAATAGTATAATTGAAGCAGTGGAGAGGTTTTCTATTTATTTGAGAAAAATGCGTGTTGGAAATGTGGGAAAAGGTTTTAGATTTTAATAAAAAAATTGCCTTGAAATGTTGCAACTGATTGTGTTGCATTGATATTTAATGACCTTTTCCCAATCCACTTCGGGAAAAGTCTAAAATACAAGTTTTGTTTGTTGCTCTACGGGAAATTCTTTGCACACTTTGGGCTAATTATATAATGACCTGTATTTAAAGTTTAACGTGAATTCCGAACCGCTAACAAACATCCATGGCACCTCCAGGATACGAACCTGAAGCCTGTGGTACCAAGGCCAGAGCTCTAGCCACTCAGCTATCAGGCCACCCTTTACGAGTGGATTGTTTTTGTGTACTTTCACACATTGAATGTGATATATTATTTACATTCCTCAAATAATTAAATAAGAATATCAATTAATTGCCACCAGGTCTCTAAAAAGGAGAAAATAAAGCTCATTGAACAGATTTCTATTGAAATATCTGATAAAAACTAATTACGATCATAACAAATAAATAAATAAACGAAAGTAAAAGAAAAAGAATAATACAATATTTTAATCGGCTCCACCAAAATCTACTTCATTCATTTGATTCTCTTTTATATGCATGTATTTAAATTTAATTGTTTTATACAACATCTATTAATTAAATATTCTCGGCTCTGATAAATTACTTCATTTTATTATTACAAATGAATAAAATGATTTATAAGGGGCTGAGAATAATTAATCTCAATTAATTCTATTGAAGAAAATTGATCTGAGATACGATCATTTGGAATAACAAACTTGGTCATGGATGGAATAATGCTTGCATCACTAAGTAACATTGTCGATAAAAAGTTAAATAACTTCATTATTTCTAATAACATATAATTTTCAAATAAATAAGCTCATATGTACATTTTATATTATCCATTCATACAATAGTGATTTCACGGAAACTTTATAGTTCTACAATTAGGCTACTTAAAACTGTATTCATTAGATTAACGTATTTAAAACAATATTAACAACAACAATTTTTTACTAAATTTGACACAATGGCAGAAATTTGTGTTATCGATAAATTCCTTTGTATCACTTGCTTTTTCGAAATTCCATTATTTGACAGAAGATTTTGTTTTCCCAGTGGATTACCACACCCAAACTAAATGCATTCTCTCCTTATTAAGTTTACAATCTTTGATGCATGTTTATTGAAAAGCGGCTGCTGATACAATCGAATTTCTCATACGACATAAATGTGTCGAGGATGGTAAACTAATGAGATACACCTACCACAATGGGCCCCCGTTTCAAGGAATATCCCCCTGATCTTATAATCCGCGTCATTCTATTCGCTTGGAGAATGAATAGGAGGATGATACGGGAAATTCCACGCTGGATTGAATATC